TCTCTGTACACAACCTAAGAACTTAAGATTGATCTTTGGTGGAATCTCAAACAACATGGATTTCATTAGTTAATGGAGCGGGGGAGATAGTGAAGATTTGGTTTAAACCGAAACCGTACCTAACCAAAATAAGAAATACCGAACCGTACCGAAATACTTTGGTATGGTATTTGGTATACACAACCGATAAACCGAATACCGAAATATCGAACCGAAATTCATAAATACCGAACCGAAATACCGAATGCCCACCCCTAGCTGCTGGAGTCTGAAACTGGGGAGCCATTTGCTCCGGAGTGTGAGTAGCGGGAGTCTGTGCTCCTACCCTAGCTCGAGAGACGGCTGGTGCTACAGGAAGCATACCGGCCTGGGTAACACTCTCTATAAGGCCCACTAGACGGACCAAAGCATCCTGAAGTACCGGGGTAGCTATGAACTCCTCTGGAACCTGAGCTGGCCCTGCTGGAACGGTCTGGGCCGGGTCCTCCTCATCGAATTCTACCTGAGGCTCCGCCGCTGGTGCTGCTACTCGAGCTCTGGGATGTGCCCTGCCCCTGCCTCGGCCTCTAGCACGGCCTCAGCCTCGGCCTCGTCCTTTGCCCCTCGTAGGAGCTGCCACTGGGGGCTCGGGCTGCTGATCAGCCAATGAAGCGGTACGTATTCTCGCCATCTGCGAAAGAACAAAGTAGAGAGTTCAATTAGCATGGAGAGAACAAACCACACGACAGAGATGAATAGAAGTGAAATTGTTCCTAACACTGTAGTCTCTGGGGGATAAGCAGAGACATCTCCGTACCGATCCCTCAGACTCTACCAAGCTTGTCCATGAATTGTGAGACCTAGGCAACCTAGTGCTCTGATACCAACTTGTCACGACCCAAATTTCACACCGTCAGGACCGTGATGGCGCCTAACATCGCACTTGCTAGGCAAGCCAACATTAGAGTTATAATCACCTTTTCCCTTTACATTTTCATAGTTAATATTAACAAAAAGCTAATTCAAACAGAAATAAAAGCGGAAGTACGTATTTAACTGATTATCCTTATACTATTAACAAAAACGAACAGTTACCACCCAGAAACTGGTGTCACAACTCACGAACTTTCTACAGATTACTACAAATACTGGTCTAAAAGAAAAATACATCTGTTTCGAAAGTAAATAAAACAGAGATATAGAATGTAGAAGGGGACGCCAGGGCTTGTGGACGCCTACAAGACTACCTTGGGTCTCGATCAGCTACTACCAGCTCCGAAATTTGCGTAGAAAGTGCAGAGTGCAGTATCAGTACAACCGACCCCATGTACTGGTAAGTGCAGAGCCTAACCTCGACGAGGTAGTGACAAGGCTGTGACGAGGCTACGGCGGGGCATAAACGATATATCCTGCAACAGTTTATAATAAGGCAAAAAGAAGATATGAAATGAAATAGGACAATAACTTGCATTAAATAAATACGGAACCCAATCGTTCTACCAATACTCAGCTATAACCAATCCTTAAGAGAGTTCAAAAACCGCAATAATGAATTTCGGCAGAAGAAGAATACATAAACAACAAATGATGCGGCGCGCATACCGATCCCACCATATAATCAATAACAGTATGAACATTCACCCTTATTACTCCTTGTTGCGGCGTGCAACCCGATCCCACCAGTCCACCCTTATTCCCCTCAATTTATCACCCTTATTCCTCCTGTTGCGGCGTGCAACCCAATCCCACCTGTCCACCCTTATTACTCCTTGTTGCGGCACGCAACCCGATCCCACCAGACAATCACATTTCACCCTTATTCCCCTTGTTGCGGCGTGCAACCCGATCCCACCATATCAGTACCAATCACAAAATAAGAACAAGTATTTCACAGTTTAGCTCAAACCCCCCACAACATTTATACCTCAAATCATAACAACGGAAGATCTATACAATTATGAAACTTCAATAGTTAATACTACACATCGAGACTAACCAAAGTGTACCATGAAGCACCAATAAACCAACTTAAACCAACAATGTAATATAATGAAACTACGGAATAATTAATACCTTCAATAGAGAAAACAACATTTAACAAGAAGCAATTAGACATGGAAGCATCAATAAGCAAGTAGCAGTTAAGACAAGAAAATAATATATTAGGAAACGGGGAAGGGAAATAGGCTAAACAGATAATTTAGCGGCGCATAGGTACCCGTCACCACACCTACACATGGTATTTCACATAGCAACTAAGTCGGGGATCCCTAATCCCTCGAGTCAAGGTTAGACCAAACACTTACCTCAAGCCAACGGGCAATTCAACGCTCAAGTACCGCTTTACCTCTCTATTCCACCACCAATCCACTCGTATATAGTCATAATCAACTCAATAACATCAATTACCGCTAAATGAATCAATTCAAATGCATAAATATAGGTTTCCCAACATTTTCCCCAAAAAGTCAAAAATCGACCCCGGGCTCGCTTGGTCAAAACCCGAAATTCGGACCAAAACCCGATTACCCATTCACCCCGAGCCCGGATATACAATTGGTTTTGGAACCGACCTCAATTTGAGGTCTAAATTCCCAAATTTCGAAATTCCTAAGTTCTATCCAAAAGCACCCAATTCCACCATGAAAAACCCTAGATTCTAGTAAGAAATTTCTTAAACAGATGAAATCAATTGAAATAAATGAGTTAAGAATCATTTACCTATGATTTGGGGAAGAACATGCCCTAGGAAAATCGCCTCTTGAAGTTTAGTTTTGAAAAATGGGAGAATGAATGAAAAATCCCGTCTAAGACCCTTTTACTTAGCTGCAGATGTCGCAATTGCGACCTGAGCTTCGCAATTGCGAAGCCCGCAAATCTGAAGAAGCTATCGCAAATGCGAAGCCCTTCACAGTCCTGTTGCCTTCGCAAATGCGAAGAAAGTGTCGCATTTGCGAACACTATTCCTCGCAAATGCGAGTAAAAGATCGTATTTGCGATCATACCCCTTCTCAGACTACCTTCGCAATTGCGAAGATTTGTTCGCATTTGCGAACTCTGCTAGCCCAGGCTTTCTTCGCAATTGCGATAAATACCTCGCAATTGCCATGCCTGCTTGGTTCGCATTTGCGTAGCTTGATCTCGCAATTGCAAGATCAGAGGCCTGCTACAGACACCAGTTACACCAGCAAATTTCTAAGTTCCAAAATCACTCTGTAGCCTATCCAAAACTCACCCGAGCCCTCGGGGCTCCAAACGTATCATGCACACAAGTCTTAAAACATCATACGAACTTGCTCATGCGATCAAATCGCCAAAATAACACCTAGAACTATGAATTTAGCACCAAATTGCATGAATTTTTCAAGATAGTTTCAAAACTTCTATTTTCTCAACCAAAGGTCCGAATAACGTCAAATCAATTCCGTTTTCACCAAATTTCACAGATAAGGTTTAAGTATCATAATGGACTTGTAGGGCTTCGGAAACAAAATACGGTCCCGATACCAACAAGATTAAATCTTTTAAATTGTTACATTTTCAGTCTTATCAATTTCCTTCAAAATTCATTTCTCGGGTTAGGGGCCTCAAAATTCGATTTCGGACATGCGCCCAGATTTCATATTTTTCTACGGACCCTCCAGGACCGTCGGAACACGGGTCTGGTTCCGTTTACCCAAAACGTTGACCAAAGTCAACAAAAATCAAATTTTTAGGCCAAAAATCATCATTTCTTAAATTTTTCACATAAGGGCTTTCTGGCTACATGCTTGGACTACGCACGTAAATCGAGGAGAGATAAAATGAGGTTTTCAAGGCCCTAGAATACAGAATTGGATTCTAAAACAGAAGATGACCTTTTGGGTCATCACAATGACTTCCTACAACAAGAAGATCATGAAGGCCTTGAACCTGCATCCTCTTCTCATTCACAAGAAGCTGCAACTTCACCACTAGTGGAGTCCACTCCAATTCCTAATGTGGATAATTTAACCACTGAGGAAATGCATGAAATGCAGGATGGGCATGCAACTAATGAATATAATGCACAAGGAGAAACAAGTACAACACCAAATTTACATGACATTGTAAGTGAGGAAGAGCAGGATGCTATGTATCTACCACAAGATGCAGACACATTACCAGAGGTAGAACAAACACATTACCAGAGGCAGAACCTATTCCTATAAGTGAAGAACTAAGAAGGTCTAGCAGAAGTGTTAAAGAGCCCTTGTGGTTGAAGGATTATGTGACACAAAAGAAGGCAAATGGGACAACATTGTATCCTCTATCAAACCATTTAGCATATAACAGACTATCAACATCTTGCCAAAGATTTGTTGCAAAGATCTCTTCACTGACAAAACCCCAGAGTTTTGCAGAAGCATCTAAAGACAAAAGATGGGTGGAAGCAATGCAGTTGGAGATTAAGGCCTTAGAAGACAACAAGACTTGGGAGATAGTAGATTTGCCTAAAGGAAAGAACACCATTGGCTCAAAATGGGTGTACAAGATAAAATTCAAAGATTCAAAGCTAGATTAGTGGCCAAGGGGTACAGTCAAAAGGAAGGTCTAGATTATCATGAGACCTTCTCACCAGTTACCAAAATGATAACTGTGAGAGCAGTCATTGCAGTGGCAGCCTCAAAGGGGTGGAACATGTACCAAATGGATGTTCATAATGCATTTCTTCAAGGAGATTTGTATGAAAAGGTGTATATGGAGCTGTCTCAGGGTTTTAGAAGACAGGGGAGACAAAAGTTTGCAAATTAGTGAAGCCTTTATATAGCTTGAAGCAGGCCTCAAGACAGTAGAACATCAAACTTACTGAAGCTCTTATGGATGCAGGCTATGGTCAGAGTCTCTATGATTACTCATTATTCACAAAAAGAAAGGGAACAAAATTTGTTGCTGTATTGGTATATGTTGATGACTTACTCATCCCAGGAAATAATGAAGAACTCATTCAGGAAACAAAGAATGTTTTAAATAGGAAGTTCAAAGTGAAGGATCTTTGAGCAATGAGGTATTTTCTAGGGATAGAAGTTATGAGATCCTATCAAGGGATCCTGTTGAACCAGAGGAAATATGCACTTCAACTGGTGTCTGATCTAGGGCTGGGAGCAACAAAACCAGCAGCTACTCCACTTGATATGAATCAAAAGTTCACCTCAGTTGAGTTTGATAGACATGTTGGGTTAGCTGGAGATGATATGTTGGCAGACATTTCAGCCTACCAAAGGTTAATTGGAAGATTGATATACCTCACAATCACCAGGCCAGATATCATATTTGTTGTGCAGACATTAAGCCAATTCATGCAATCTCCTAAGCAGTCCCACTGGAAAGCAGCAGTAAGGGTAGTAAAATACATCAAACAGAATCCATGAATGGGAATTATGATGAGTAGCAAGCATGCGGACAGTCTGGTCTGCTACTGTGATGCAGATTGGGCATCATGCCCTAACACTAGAAGATCAGTGACTGGGTTTGTGATGAAGTTTGGAGACTCATTGGTGTCTTGGAAGTCAAAGAAGCAACAAATAGTTTCTAGGAGCTCAGCAGAAGAAGAGTATAGAAGCTTAGCAACAGCTACTGCAGAAATAGTATGGTTACTGGGATTGTTTCCAGAGCTCAATGTGCTTATCAAACAACCAGTGGATATAATGTGTGATAGCAAAGCTGCCTTACAAATTGAAGCTTATCCCATATTCCATGAGAGGACCAAACATATTGAAATAGATTGTCATTTTGTTAGAGATATGATCAAAGAAGGGAGGATCAAGACACGCCACATTGGAACCAAGGACCAATAAGCAGACGTCTTAACTAAAGGACTGGGAAGAGTACGACATGAATATCTATTGAGCAAGCTAGGGGTGCTTAATATCTTACACCCTCCAGCTTGAGGGGAGTGTAAGAATAAAAGAGCCAATTTTGTCATGCTGAGTAGTGAGCCAGCTGTCAAGTTAGTTAGGACAACTGGTAGAGTTAGTGCTTGCAGTAGTTAGTTGATATTGTTAGTGGTCTTAGCTTAATTAAGTAGTAGTTAGCTTCTATAAATATAGGGTTGTATATGTTATTGTAGATACAACTAATACACAGAAAAATTCCCCATTTCATTTCTCTCTTCTTCCTCTTCCTCTCTCTTACGCAACACTGTTACATTGCTCCATTAGTGGTGTTCATGACCTAGCTCAATTAAGCTCAACTCATAGGAAATACTTAATTTATTCTTTAATGAATCATACGTGATACAAATCTGAATTAAATGGACTAGTATATTTCAGATGTTGTATACATAAAAAAATTGGTCTCTTGTGTGTCTATTTAAGTCTCAATTTTATCGATGTATCTGACGTATTTTTGTTTTTTATATTACTAGTTTCTGGATACGCGCGTTGCGCGTGAATTCTAACTTACTGTGGGTTGTAAATGGATCGAACACATAAAATTATTGAGAAAGAAAAATATACTTTACTAACATATAAAATGGCTATTTTTATAAAAATGGAAACAATACCTATGACTATGACAATGGGTGCCAGGAGACACCATATCGTCAATCAAGCTTTTGAACAATTCAGTGACATCAATATAATGAGTCTGCTTCGGATAGAAATACCTTTCTTCATTACAAAAATATTCCATCTGCATGGATGGCACAAGCAAATGGAGTTAAATTATCAATCCTTAATATAAGTTTTCAAGTGCAACAATCATCAAAGATAACATCACTTAAAGTTAGACAGAACACTATGGGTTTTTTTAGATTAAACACTTGTGATGTCGATATGGTGGCTGTATATAGTTAGTGACTTAACCGAGGAAATAGAATGAAGATAAAAAAAATTGAAGTAAAAGAAAGCGATGCAATATAGAGAAATGAAGGGGAATGTCTTTGGTAGGACTTTTCGTTTTTAACATTTACTACAACTCTTCGTTACACGCATCTACTATAATTATTTGTCTAATGTCATCCGTTTTTCCTAATCATTTATTGAAATTAAAATGAGAGTTTAAATGGTATATATTTCACGAATTTTAATAAATTTATGGCTTCATACATTAATGATGAAGCAGTGACTTTGAAGGTAATTTTACTATTTGGTTCAAAAAATTGTTGGAGTAGGAATCTTTAAGTGAACGGCAAAATAGTCGTTTAGTTTTTAATAGGTGTTTTCATATTTTAACTTTAAACTTGGAGCTTCCCACTTATAATATAGTATAATACGATGATATGTATCGATAAAAAGGAAGCGGCAACTAATTAATCCCTTAAAATGATCAAAGGGCAAGTAATTAATCCCTTAAATGATCAAGCTTTGTCCTAAGACCGATCGAGGGGCTTTAATTTAATATTTCTGCCTTTTATTCCACATGCGAAACGTTTGAAAAAGAAAAAAGACCAGTTACATGTGTAATGTGTAAAATATAAGGAAATAAAAAAGATATATTTGGTTTAACTATATGACTTCCCATAAAATAAAGAGTTAAACACGGTATCGAGAAGAGTATCATAAAATAGATAACTGCATTTTGTCTTTTTCCTCCCATCACTTGGACCAATTGCATCATTAAGAAAGACGTTGATCCAGAATTTAAATATCATGATTCTATATAGGAAGTTTTACGCCCTATAAAAAACCTTAGTACCCTATTTATTTTAAATAAATATCATTTTAAAATATTACATCCTATAGATACCTTTTATACTTTATAGCCAAATATTTAATTATAGTTACATCCTACATTTAAGGCACCATATATGCTAAATAATATTTTTCTCTCTCCTTTTTAGTCTTTTCTCTCACATAATCACCGTAAAATTGACTAACCACGTTCTCTCTCTTTTTGCATACACTTTACTCTTTCTCCCTTAACCCACGATTCATACCTCTTCTCCCACCCAAATTCTCTAGTTCTCCTCCATTATCACTCAATTACTATCGCTTAGGGTAAGTTTAATTCGTTGATTTTGATAGACGAAGAGCAATTGGTTCAACTGTAGCGGCTCGATTCTGCATGGCAGTGGTCGTCGAAGTAGGGTTCACAGCTTTTGCGTAATTCATGGCTTCGTTTGTGGGATTTGAGGGCTGGGGATTGTTTGTAGTTGTTGTAGGAGGTTGGGCAGATGTGTTAGGGGGCTGACCAGCCGGAATTAATGGCTGGCCGCCGGCCGGCGAAGCCATAAGGCTGTTTCTCTCTCTAGATCGCCCAAATCGCCTATTTGTATTCAGTTGTATTCGAATGTATATTTCAGTTGTATTCACATGTATTCAGCAGCATTCATTTATATATTTTAGATGTATTAAAAAGTTATGCGTATTCTCTTGTATTCAGTTTTAATCAGTTGTATTTAACTATTTTATTCAGCAGTAGTTAGTTGTATTCAAGTGTTTTATACAACTGTATTCAGTTGTATTCAGATGTAGTTAGTTATATTCAACTATTTTATTCAGCAGAAGTTAGTTGTATTTTGTTGCATCAAGAGTTTTATTCAGCTGTATTCAGTTGTATTTTGTTGTATTCAAGTGTTTTATTCAGATGAATTAAGTTGTATTTTGTTGTATTCAATTGTATACAGTTGTACTCAACTGTATTATTCATATGTATTTCTTTTTATTCAGCTATAATCTTTATTATGTATCTTTCAAATACAGATTAATGAGGGATCATTTTAGTTCGTTGAGTTAAATTAGGAGAATATCATGTGATTTGATTTCCTTCCATTTTTAACCAGTTTAACCTTCCAGATTTTGCGCAGATATTTTAACGTTAATGCCGCTTGAATACAGCTAAATACATGTCAAACTTAGCTGGAATTCCACTTTTTACGCCTATTTTTTTGGTTGTATTAATGAATACAACAGCTTAAATACATGAAATACATTGTATAAAAACATAAAAGGTATCTATAATACGTAATATAGCAAAGGGTATCTATAAATGGCTAATTAGACCTAAAAGATGGTGCTTTATGAAAAATTCTCTATATAGGATTCCAGATTTTGCGCAGATACGTTACTGTATTTAACGTTAATGCCGCTTGAATACAGCTAAATACATGTCAAACTTAGTTGGAATTCCACTTTTTACGCCTATTTTTTTGGTTGTATTAATGAATACAACAGCTTAAATACATGAAATACATTGTATAAAAACATAAAAGGTATCTATAACACGTAATATAGCAAAGGGTATCTATAAATGGCTAATTAGACCTAAAAGATGGTGCTTTATGAAAAATCTCTTATATATATATATATATATATATAAAGTTACTGAGTTCGAATGAACCCGAACAACAAATGACTAACTACATTGCTACATTGCCCTGTATTAAGATCAAACTGTACATATGAAATTAATCCAAAATGCATTTGGACCCTATTGCCAATACTAAAATAACTTCACACCTAAAATCTCATTTATTGTACTAAAATAACTATCTTGAAAGCGTGTTATGGTCATTACAATAGCGTTGGTTGATGTGTGTCCTATTCCAGCTTATTGACAAATGAAATTCAAAGAGCATTGAATTTGGAGGCCCACGCTAATTTATGTGAGTGGCCGACTAATTTCTCTTTAACTTACTCATCTTTGTTTTCCCCCATAGACTATAGTCAATCATCAGTCACAATTAGACATGAGGGTCTCATGGCTCCACGGTTAAATATTCAAAGAAAAATGGACTCTTCTTAAAATTTGTATCTCAAGTTATTAAAATGCAGTTCGGTGCACAAAATATTCCGTATTTATGGTCGTACCCAAGGGGATGTAACGTAAACAGCGTATCCTGATACATGCGTCAATCGCTGATTTCACGGCTCGAACCCATAACCTGTAGAACGCACGAATATAGCTTTATCATTGCTCTAAGGCTCCCTCGAGATATATCCGTAGACATCAAAAATTTAACAGATCAAGCTAAATCTTAAATTCAAGATACTGCAAGACTCTTGAAATGCTAGGAGTCTATTAGGGTTGCTTGGAGGTTACTCTACCCTAAACCCTAACTCACACCAATATAAAAGGATATATATTCCCTTAAAAAGGGGTCCCAAAAATCCATAAACTTTTGGGATATTCACAAAGAGATCAAAATGTGGTCGGATACTTCTTGACAATCAAATAGTTCAAAAAACTGGAGATCAAATACATCCCCAGGAGGTCTGCATCATCCAACATTCGAGAAATACGCTGCTTCAGCCCTCAAATCACGGAGATAATCAGGAGAGAAGAATCAAGGGAGAAACGGAATTGTACTCACAATTGATTAGTAAAAATAATTACTTTATTTTTTGTGATTGCAGATATTTTTTATATCATGAAAATTCGTTGGAAACAAATTGGCACGTCCAGTGGGACCAATTCTGCCCTTCATCTA